GTACAGTCCGGCCTTCATGAGCAGCTGATGAGAACACGCTCCTGAATCTTTGGCTCCACCTTCAGGCCGTCTCCTGAGGTGGTGAGTGGATGCTCCGCCTTCGCCGCGACCACAAACAGTCTGATTGAACCTCAGCAGCTTATCTCACACCAGCTTCTAATATCTCATCATGTGACTGTGATTAGACGTATTGATCAGTGATAGAATCCATGAATCTGTGCATTATTGCTCAGACATGTGATGTGTTACAGAGCTCCTCGCCACCTGGCAGGAAGTCAACCTTCTAGTGAAAAATCAAGAAAATAAAAGCATTGAATGTTCTACGGCTTCATTTTTCCTCTCTTTAATGGCCCTGGTGTACTGTCTATGAACAGCTCACCCCTCACTACAGCACATTCAGTTACCTCCACCCGTCCCCATCAGGGCTACACCGACAGGTGGAGGTGGGAGTGCTGCAAAGAGCAGGTCAGGCCTCAGATACAGCCTTAAGCAGTTTAAAGGAAGTGTCCTGAGTAAGATTTACCAGTTCAAAGACCAGCCGAGCCCGAGCTGAGCCGATCGTGTTTGTGAATGTTTGAGTGCTGACTGGTTTTCTTCAGGTTTACTGACCTGAGACTGGAGTGGTTCCCACAGCTTTATAGTGGGAGTTCTGGTCAGGAATTCTTCCTGGATTTTTGGGTGTTGTTGGGATCAAATGAGCTCAGTCACCAAACCACTCAAAGCTCTTGTCCTCGTCATTTACGAGTCTAATGATTATCGTGGAAAACTGAGCCTCGCAGTTTTTTAAGTGAGAAATGCTTTTGTCTCTTTTTGTGACTCTCGGCTCGTCCGACACGAAGCTTGTTGTCTCGAGAGTTTCCTCTTCGTGCTCACGCTGAAGCAAATACACTTTGATCAGGTCACTTTTGTGGTGTTTTCTCTGTTGTCCTAATGTTTATCAATGAATGTGTGATTGTGGATGGACAGAGCTGATGTTTCTCTGCAGTGCTTCCTGCTGCCACTGGAGGTCACTGCTGCACTGCGAGCACCTTCCTCCCTGTCAGACCTCCCCCTATAGCAGGCCTCGAGGGCCGGTGTCCTGCAGGTTTTAGACGTGTCCTCGAACCAACACAGCTGATTTAAATGGATAAATGAGCTCCTCAACATGTCCTGAAGTTCTCCAGAGGCCTGGTAACGAACTAATCATGTGATTCAGGTGTGTTGACCCAAGCTGAGATCTAAAACCTGCAGGACACCGGCCCTCGAGGCTGTCAGGACCCCTGCATCAGCTCCCACTTCAACATGTCTTTGAACACTCAGGTACAGGTGAGTGCTCAGACCTGTCTGCAGCTTTTTGTTCAGTCACATGATGAGTGTTTAAATACCCGGCCTTGGGTCCTTTTCTTCCTCCCTCACTGACTCGCTGCTCCATCTTGTGGTATAAACTGGTATTTCACCCTGTGCTGCCCGTTTTAATGCAAAAGTCAAAGGCTCCGGTCTTTATGTTACACACATTCGTTTACAACACACAGCTTTAAGTTCACACTTTATCTTATTTGTCTGTGCTTCAGCTCGGCTCAAAGACGTTTCCACCGAGGGAAATCTGACAAATTTCCTTCAGCTGTTGTTTCTGTGGAAATCTATGAGGGGGGCAGGAAAAGCAGGACAAACGGGGGGGCTCTGTAACACTGCCCTTAATTAAACCATCACAGTAATGTTTCTGCACACACTGATTAGACTCCAGGTCAGCTGTTTCTGCATCACCCGTTTAATATCATCAGGTTACATGTGATTACTGTCCGTACAGTCATTTACATCAGAACCGTACAGACGTGAAGACGAGCAGGACTCAGGAGAAGCAGCAGGACGAAGGTTCACACTCCTCATCATCGCGTGGATGACGTTTG